CTCGACGGCGATGACGACAGCGACGACGGCAACGTCGACGACGACGACGACGACGGCGGCGGCGGCGGCGACGTCGATGTCGACGACGACGATGGCGACGACGGCGACGACGACGACGACGATGGCGGCGGCGACGACGACGTCGACGACGATGACGACGGCGACGACGGCGACGACGGCGACGGCGGCGACGACGACCACGACGATGACGACGATGACGACGGCGACGACGGCGACGGCGGCGGCGACGACAATCACGACGACGACGACGACGACGACTGCGCTCGGCGGCGGCGGCGGATCGCCAACGGCGCCGGGCGGCGGCGCCCTCCGAGAGAAGCTCGAGGCTTTCCTTCCCCGGGCGTGCTCGCCGCCCTTCGGCGGATTTCTCCAGCCTCGGGACGCCTTCCGTCAGCTGCGCCTCGCCGAGGGCGCTCGGCGCTTGCCCGAGGCGCCTGACGGAGGAGGAGGAGGAGGAGGTGGAGGAGGAGGAGGAGACGGAGGAGGGAAAGGAGGAGGAGGAGGAGGCGTTGGGGCCCGGAGGTCCCCCGAGGCCACGCCGAGCGCGGCCACACTCCCCATGCTGAAACTGCTTTTCTCCCGCAAATCCTTTGCTGATCCCCCACAAGCCCGCGATAACCCTCTCCGGAATCTGCGGCCATCAACTTCGGCTACTTCCTCTACGTCTGCAACCTCCACCAGAACTTTTCATCCACCTCTACTACGAGGCCACCGCGTCCTCACTCCAGAGAACCTCCCAACGGCAACGATCGCCTGCCTGGCACCGGCGCCTTCGCCGCGAGCGTGCCGACGCTCGCGTCCCACTCCGCCTCGGACGAGCACGCCAATTGCTCGCCGACCACCACAGCGCCCAGCAACCACCTCGACTAACCGACGCAACCATGGCGCCCAAGATGAATCAGACTACAGTCGGCAGCTGCCACAACAAACAGTGGCACCAGCAACACTACCAGCACCGACGCCAGCAACACCAAGGGGACACCACACGAGCCCCTCGGACACAATTGTGCGCCCGCAGCCGTGATGACACCCGCGGCACGGGCAACAGCGGCGATACGGGACAGCAGCACCACCAGCAAACACAAAAGGCCACAACAGCACAGCCTCAACGTGCAACGCTGCCAACATCGTCCCCATGACCCTTACCGAAGCCAGAAAACAGCAGCATTGGAACGAACCGCCCACAATGCATCGCTTGGACAGAGCCAAGGAGTACCGCAAGAGTTGCAAATCCGACATCGACTACCTCATCGCTACCATCCAGAAACATGCCAACGACGACTGCGACTTCGAAGACATCGTCACCAAGATCCGCTTACAGAAGTCCATGCTACTATACTCAGGCGACGCCAAGGACCAGCGAAGAGAAGCAGAGAACATGATCAACGACACAGCCACACAAATGGATGACTCACAACAACAGCTGGAGGAACTCCAGCCCAAGGCTACAGTTCTCGGAAACCGACATCGCCACCTCCGACGGCTTCATGACAGCATCAGGGGGGCAGACTCTGACGACGATGCGGACGCCGAGTCAGCAACAACGCCCAAGAAACGAAGCCAGCAACAACGTTCCGATGCCCCTGCTCCCAACATTGGAAGACTCCGCCGAAGATTCATCGGAGATATGTCACCAGCACCTTCAGCGACTCAAGCGCCCACAGAGACCTCCATCGTCAACTATCTACGACAAGAACTACAGGAAACACGGCAGAAACATGAGGCGCGGCGACGCCAACCAGCTCGAAGAAGCGAAAGGATCCTACTACAAGAACGAGCAGGACAACAACAGCAGGGTACAGCGCTACGAGAAGTATCAGCTGGAAGAGCATAAGAAGGATACCCACGCCATCAGGAACGCAACAGAGAAGGTCGCATAGCAAAGCGCCCGCAAGACCGAGAAGGACAACAACGCCATCGAGAACCTCGAGAACGATCTCCGCGAGGCCAACAACACCATGCACCAGACCGTCGGCCAGAACCGCAAAATCTCCCAGGAGTCAAGACAATACCGCGGGAAGTATGAGGAGGCAGCCACCACCGATGAGTACCTGCAGAGAGCCTTCGAATAAGCACGACAACGCATGCGCCAGCCGCGGCAGCCGCAAGTTTCGGGCGTGCTCATTAGGTGCAACAAACTCGAGAAGAGACCAGCAGAGAAGGACGAAACCATGCAGCTCCTTGAGCACCAGCGACCGATCATCATCAACGACCACCAGCAGACGAGAAACGCAGCCCAACAACTCCACGACCAGCAGCATTCACACCAACAGCAACAACGATTTCGACAGGAACTTGCAGCAGCGCCGCCCAAGGACGCGAACGTCGAGGACCAGGCCCGCAAGCACATCCAGTGCAACTACAACCGCTCAGAACAAAAGGTGCTATACCTCGAGAACGAGCTCTACATGCAGAAGCAGACTACGCACATCGAGGAGAAGCAATACCGAAACAAGACCGATACCACCCGCGCACTAGAGGGACGAACGGAGGACATGCAGAACTCCATTACCCAGCTTCACCAGCGCAAAGAAGCTTACGCGGCGACAGCGGAGCTACAGGCTGAACGCGCACACCACGACCAATGTCAGCTCAACGCCGCTGAGACATCCATGGACACGCAGGAGCAACTCCTCCAACAGCTACACAACAAACAACGCGTCACAGAAGCGCAAATGCAGCAGCGGGCACGGCAGCTCGAGGACGCCCACTCAGATCCACGCCATGCAGAAGGAGCGAGAAGCAGACTTCGCCAACGACCTCGCCAACCAGCTCAGGAACGACGGCTCTCTGTCCATCGTCGCATTCCCTCAGGCGCCGCAAGGGGCAGGGCCGCAACAAATCGGCCAAGAAGCTCAGCTCATAGCCACCCCCGACCTCGAGATATCCGACATCGAGGACCACGGCGCCCAGACCCCACGGGGCGACTATGGGCGCGAGAAGGATGTCCCCGGCACCGCGAAGACGACGTCTGAAGACGAGCGCCCAGCCACCACGCCAGAAGCTGAAGGGACTCCGACGCCACGGCAGGGGCAGGACGGATAACATATACTATCTCAAGTTCAACCATGGGAACCAGCTTCAACCCAACCAAGGAACGGCGACAACTACATCAGCTGGGCGGAGAACTTTCGCATCCAGCGCAGCGGCTTCGAATGAGACAATGCCCCGACACCGGTAGCAGACGAACAGGAGCTACTAGACCAACCAGATGGAAGAGCCGCAGCGACACCATGTGCACCGCCAAGGGAAGCAACCATATCACCAACGGAGCGCATGACACCTATCGACTTCCGACCAGCACCGACATTCCACATTGGCACGCCACCAAACATATCAACATCACTGCCACCGAGATCTCCGGACCAGCCATCAGGAGGCAGCTCGCGCGCGCCGCGAGCGCGCAAAACTAAGCCGACCGCAATCAGCGCCGCGACGGTCTGCGCGCTTCGCCGCGGGCAACGGCCAAGGTGCAATGGGCCCAGCAGACGAGGGGAACGTCGTCCCCGTGAACCAGCACGGCGACAACGACAGCAGCGGCGCCGACGGAGGTGACAGCGACCGAACCCCAAACAACTGATTAGGGACGGCGGCGTCGGGGATGCCACCGCCAACGAGGCCGATGGGGCCAGCGTAGCAACGGCCAGTAGACTAAGCGACGCTTCGCTACGAGTGTCAATGCCAGAGCGCGTCGCACATGGGGCGCGCGGCTTGACTGCGGCCGAACGCTCCAGAACCAGACGCGCACGACCCAATGCACGATCACGGCTCCAACGCCGAACTGGAATTCAAAGAGCAGCAATGCTCCCTTTTTACAAGCGTCGCACAGACAGCAGACGACGCACTTCCTCGGACAGGGGGGCCGAGACAACGCCGGCAATAGCTAACCTCCAGGGGGGCGGAGATAGCTCAGCAAGCCTGGCGGTTGAGAGGGGCGGCGGGGTAGCCATAGACCTCGCGACACTTGTTTCAACCAGATACGGCCCACCGCGCGACGTCAGCTCGGGCTCCGTGCGAGGCGACTTGGACATCTACGCGGAGGAGGCTACATCTGCATACCGACGTACCTATGGGCCCCCCCCCCCCCCCAGTTTCACAGCAAGGGAGGAGCTTACTTTGCAGTGGCAGTCCCGTTCCTCCCGACGGAGCCGATAGCGGCCGTCCTGAATCGCTCGATTCCGCCCGCTCTCCAGCGCCAGCATGGCCTCGCCAACGCGCCCGACCTCAACCCGGCAGCCGCCATGGCGCTTGATCTGTGCCCACCTCGGCCCCGGCCCCGTCAGCCGGTCAAAAGATGGCGCCTATACACAGACGGCGCGCATCAGCGCGACCCAGACCAAGACTCATGGACACTGGCTATCACCGCTGAAGACGAGCAAGGTTTCATATGCCAGGGAAGCATCGGAGCACGCAGTGACACATCACTCAGGGGCGACAACTTTTCCTGCAACCCTACCACATCAGAACTAGCTGCTCTGATGTGGGCGACTGCATTGGTATGCGCACGCATCCGCGGCGCCACCGGCAAATTCGGCGTCGTCATGCACGCCGACTCCATGATTGCCACGGGATTCGCACAGAGTAATAAAAATTTCCAACCCAAGAAACCCAACCATATGACTGACTTAGTACGAATACTACGCGACCTTATCTCCGAGACGGTCAACCTATACGCCGACCACGTACGAGCGCACGCAGGACACCCCTGGAATGAGCTTGCCGACAGTCTCGCCAAGGTGTGCGCCGCTACGCCGAGCAACCTCCAGCAATGCTCACGCGAAGAACAGGCGGGCGCCTTCCACGCCGACAGGGAACGACAATGGGAATGGCCACAAGAAGCAGGCGGATAAACCGTTGACGTCTACCCGAACATGAACCAACGCGGATTGGAGGCACCTCCTGCTAAGATAAACGCTCGATTAATACACTGCGTGCCTCAGTGCACCGAGATTTCCAGTGACGAGCAGATCGACGTCCGC